CAGCATCCTCTCTCACAGATTCACAGTTAGTGAGCTGCAGGTGCACATGGCAGAACCTCCATGTAATTAATTTCATAGCTATAAAGTGGCACTGAGACATTATGCAAAATTCCTCCCCAAGGTGATTGTGGAATTCTATTTGGATCAATCAACTTGCTTGTGTTCCTCCCAAAACCCTGTTCTGTGCGAGTGGAGAAAAAGCTCTACACCTAGAATTTATCCAGAGCTCTCCGATATTACATAGACACGACCAAATCATTGTCAGTCTTAACATCTATTTTTAGCTATGGCTGGCCACTCCAAAGGGTCAAGCCATTTCATCCCAAAGACTTTCAAAATGGATAATGTATATCTCTCTGTGCTACTAGGTGGCTGATGTCCCTCTGATAGTTAGGGCTTATTCCACCGGAGGTCAAGCAGCATTCTGAGCATGTCTCTGCAACTTGCCAATAACCCAAATCTGCAAGGCTGCTACATGGAACAATCCGCTAACATTCGTAAAGCATTATGTTGTGAAATGGCTGCTAACTGGTATGCAAAGTTTAGAAAAGCAGTACTCCAGTCTTTGTTTGACTGTTGCAGCTGATGCTCACCCTCCTGAATAAGATACTGCTTGTCAGTCACTTACAGTAGGATCAACATTAATATCTATTTGATGAAGAGAGGATGGGTATTTGCCCCACACTTACTGTTTTTGTTTTTTTTCAAGTATGGATCCCACAACCCAGCCTCTATCCCCACTTTAGGAGTCCTCAGCTAACATTCATTTCTGAGTTGCAACGTAACTGCTCCATCCTTTATGCTCTTGCACAGGAGGAGGCACAGGGCACATGCATGGCCCCATTGGACACTGCTATTGGAGAGATTCTGACCTTGCATGCATGAGATCCATGCACACTTACAGTGGGATCCACACTGTTAACTTCATCTTGCAGAGCCACAATTACTGTTGGGTAAGCAACTGTTATTTACTGATGGAACACTCAACACATGGGATTATCATTATGTAATATGTTAGTTACTGGTTTATTCATTGTGGATTACAATCTTTTATTGAAGTCAGTGAAAGAGTATAACAGCTTATTGACGTCAGTAGAGGACTGTTACAATACCCTTATTGTGAATGATCTTTTACAGCCTTTCATGGATGTCAGTAAATGAAAAGTGACAATTAAAATCTCAATCTTTAATTTTCTCCTTTTACTGAAATTTACTTTCAGGCATCTGCTGCTGTTATGACATTAGCAACAGTCCCAAATGAATATAATCTTGTACTCTGGGGTTATCATTTGTCCTCTGTTCCCATATCTTGTAAATGTTCGAAATAAAACTGAATACAATCCAGTCATCTTCCAGACCAAGAGTATCCTCTCTAGCACCACACTGATCTTCCTTTCTTGCAAATGTGGATACGTCATGTACTAATTTTGGTGTAGATTGTGTGCCTCGTTGCTTTATAGACATGTAAGGAGAGAGAGTCTCTGTCCCACTGAGCTCTCAGACAAAATAGTTAGGCAGAGAAAGTATATTGGGCATGCAAAGAGTTTGAGGTACTGTAGGAATCTTATAAAGGGGTCACTTCTGAAAGGCTATATGGAAGAAGTATCTGAAGCAGCTTAGACCATGTCTATGCTTGCGAGCTTACAGCGGCACAGCGATACAGCCACACAGCTGAGTCGATAAGAGTGCTTGTGTAGCTGCTTTATGCTGACTGGAGACATAATTAAACCACCTCCAACAAGTGGCGGTAGCTATGTCAGTGGGAGAGCGTCTCCTGCTGACATAGTGCTGTCTACACCGGTTCTTCTGTCAGTGTAACTTACGTTGCTCAGAGGGGTGGTGGTTTTTTTTGGTGTGTGTTTTTGTTTTTGTTTTTTTTAAAAAACACCTGAGCTACATAAGTTATACCAATAGAAGTGCTAGTGTAAGGCATACCCTTACTCCTGAATGCAGAGTCTCCATCTAAGGGTATGTCTACACTACGGAATAAGGTCGAATTTATAGAAGTCGGTTTTTTAGAAATCGGTTTTATATATTCGAGTGTGTGTGTCCTCACAGAAAATGCTCTAAGTGCATTAAGTGCATTAACTCGGCGGAGTGCTTCCACAGTACCGAGGCTAGAATCGACTTCCGGAGCATTGCACTGTGGATAGCTATCCCACAGTTCCCGCAGTCTCCGCTGCCCATTGGAATTCTGGGTTGAGATCCCAATGCCTGATGGGGCTAAAACATTGTCGCGGGTGGTTCTGGGTACATATCATCAGGCCCCCGTTCCCTCCCTTCCTCCATGAAAGCAAGGGCAGACAATCGTTTCGCGCCTTTTTTCCTGAGTTACCTGTGCAGACGCCATACCATGGCAAGCATGGAGCCCACTCAGGTAACCGTCACCCTACATCTCCTGGGTGCTGGCAAACGCGGTACGGCTTTGCTACACAGTAGCAGCAACCCATTGCCTTCTGGCAGCAGACTGTACAATACGACTGGTAGCTGTCCTTGTCGTGTCCGAGGTGCTCCTGGCCACGTCGGCTGGGAGCGCCTGGGCAGACATGGTCGCAGGGACTAAATTTGGAGTGACTTGACCAGATCATTCTCTTTAGTCCTGCAGTCAGTCCTATTGAACCGTCTTATGGTGAGCAGGCAGGCGATACGGATTGCTAGCATTCGTACTGTACCATCTTCTGCCGGGCAGGCAAGAGATGAGGATGGCTAGCAGTCGTACTGTACCATCTTCTGCCGAGCAGCCATGAGATGTGGATGGCATGCAGTCCTTCTGCACCGTCTGCTGCCAGCCAAAGATGTAAAAGATAGATGGAGTGGATCAAAACAAGAAATAGACCAGATTTGTTTTGTACTCATTTGCCTCCTCCCCTGTCTAGGGGACTCATTCCTCTGGGTCACACTGCAGTCACTCACAGAGAAGGTGCAGCGAGGTAAATCTAGCCATGTATCAATCAGAGGCCAGGCTAACCTCCTCGTTCCAATAAGAACAATAACTTAGGTGCACCATTTCTTATTGGAACCCTCCGTGAAGTCCTGCCTGACATACTCCTTGATGTAAAGACACCCCCTTTGTTGATTTTAGCTCCCTGAAGCCAACCCTGTAAGCCGTGTCGTCAGTCGCCCCTCCCTCCGTCAGAGCAACGGCAGACAATTGTTCCGCGCCTTTTTTCTGTGCGGACGCCATACCAAGGCAAGCATGGAGGCCGCTCAGCTCACTTTGGCAATTAGGAGCACATTAAACACCACACGCATTATCCAGCAGTATATACAGCACCAGAACCGGGCAAAGCGATACCGGGCGAGGAGGCGACGTCAGCGCAGTCACGTGAGTGATCAGGACATGGACACAGATTTCTCTGAAAGCATGGGCCCTGCCAATGCATGCATCATGGTGCTAATGGGGCAGGTTCATGCTGTGGAACGCCGATTCTGGGCTCGGGAAACAAGCACAGACTGGTGGGACCGCATAGTGTTCACAGTGGCTGTGAAACTTTCGCATGCGTAAGGGCACTTTCATGGAACTTTGTGACTTGCTTTCCCCTGCCCTGAGGCGCATGAATACCAAGATGAGAGCAGCCCTCGCAGTTGAGAAGCGAGTGGCGATAGCCCTGTGGAAGCTTGCAACGCCAGACAGCTACCGGTCAGTTGGGAATCAATTTGGAGTGGGCAAATCTACTGTTGGGGCTGCTGTGATGCAAGTAGCCCACACAATCAAAGATCTGCTGATATCAAGGGTAGTGACCCTGGGAAATGTGCAGGTCATAGTGGATGGCTTTGCTGCAATGGGATTCCCTAACTGTGGTGGGGCCATAGACGGAACCCATATCCCTATCTTGGCACCGGAGCACCAAGCCGCCGAGTACATAAACGGCAAGGGGTACTTTTCGATAGTGCTGCAAGCTCTGGTGGATCACAAGGGACGTTTCACCAACATCAACGTGGGATGGCCGGGAAAGGTACATGACGCTCGCATCTTCAGGAACTCTGGTCTGTTTCAAAAGCTGCAGGAAGGGACTTTATTCCCAGACCAGAAAAGAACTGTTGGGGATGTTGAAATGCCTATATGTATCCTTGGGGACCCAGCCTACCCCTTAATGCCATGGCTCATGAAGCCGTACACAGGCAGCCTGGACAGCAGTCAGGAGCTGTTCAACTACAGGCTGAGCAAGTGCAGAATGGTGGTAGAATGTGCATTTGGACGTTTAAAGGCGCGCTGGCGCAGTTTACTGACTCGCTTAGACCTCAGCGAAACCAATATTCCCACTGTTATTACTGCTTGCTGTGTGCTCCACAATATCTGTGAGAGTAAGGGGGAGACGTTTATGGCAGGGTGGGAGGTTGAGGCAAATCGCCTGGCTGCTGGTTACGCGCAGCCAGACACCAGGGCGGTTAGAAGAGCACAGGAGGGCGCGGTACGCATCAGAGAAGCTTTGAAAACCAGTTTCATGACTGGCCAGGCTACGGTGTGAAAGTTCTGTTTGTTTCTCCTTGATGAAACCCCCCGCCTCTTGGTTCACTCTACTTCCCTATAAGCTAACCACCCGCCCCTCCTCCCTTCAGTCACCGCTTGCAGAGGCAATAAAGTCATTGTTGCTTCACATTCATGCATTCTTTATTCATTCATCACACAAATAGGGGGATGACTACCAAGGTAGCCCAGGAGGGGTGGTGGAGGAGGGAAGGAAAATGCCACACAGCACTTTAAGCACAGCACTTTAAAAGTTTACAACTTTAAAATTTATTGAATGACAGCCTTCTTTTTTTTGGGCAATCCTCTGTGGCGGAGTGGCTGGTTGGCCGGAGGCCCCCCGCCGCGTTCTTGGGCGTCTGGGTGTGGAGGCTATGGAACTTGGGGAGGAGGGCGGTTGGTTACAGAGGGGCTGCAGTGGCAGTCTGTGCTCCAGCTGCCTTTGCTGCAGCTCAACCATACACTGGAGCATACTGGTTTGGTCCTCCAGCAGCCTCAGCATTGAATCCTGCCTCCTCTCATCACGCTGCCGTCACATTTGAGCTTCAGCCCTGTCTTCAGCCCGCCACTTACTCTCTTCAGCCCGCCACCTCTCCTCCCGGTCATTTTGTGCTTTCCTGCACTCTGACATTATTTGCCTCCACGCATTCGTCTGTGCTCTGTCAGTGTGGGAGGACAGCATGAGCTCGGAGAACATTTCATCGCGAGTGCGTTTTTTTTTCTTTCTAAGCTTCACTAGCCTCTGGGAAGGAGAAGATCCTGTGATCATTGAAACACATGCAGCTGGTGGAGAAAAAAAAGGGACAGCGGTATTTAAAAAGACACATTTTATAAAACAGTGGCTACACTCTTTCAGGGTAAACCTTGCTGTTAACATTACATACATAGCACATGTGCTTTCGTTACAAGGTCGCATTTTGCCTCCCCCCACCGCGTGGCTACCCCCTCAACCCTCCTCCCTCCCCGTGACTAACAGCGGGGAACATTTCTGTTCAGCCGCAGGCAAACAGCCCAGCAGGAATGGGCTCCTCTGACTGTCCCGTGAAGAAAAGCACTCTATTTCAACCAGGTGACCATGAATTATATCTCACTCTCCTGAGGATAACACAGAGAGATAAAGAACGGATGTTGTTTGAATGCCAGCAAACATACACTGCAATGCTTTGTTCTACAATGATTCCCGACTACGTGCTACTGGCCTGGTGTGGTAAAGTGTCCTACCATGGTGGACGGAATAAGGCTGCCCTCCCCAGAAACCTTTTGCAAAGACTTTGGGAGTACATCCAGGAGAGCCGCAAATGCCAGGGCAAAGTAATCCTTTCACATGCTTGCTTTTAAACCATGTACAGTATTTTAAAAGGTACACTCACCAGAGGTCCCTTCTCCGCCCGCTGGGTCCAGGAGGCAGCCTTGGGTGGGTTCGGGGGGTACTGGCTCCAGGTCCAGGGTGAGAAACAGTTCCTGGCTGTCAGGAAAACCGGTTTCTCCGCTTGCTTGCTGTGAGCTATCTACAACCTCATCATCATCATCGTCCCCGAAACCTGCTTCCGTATTGCCTCCATCTCCATTGAAGGAGTCAAACAACACGGCTGGGGTAGTGGTGGCTGAACCCCCTAAAATGGCATGCAGCTCATCATAGAAGCGGCATGTTTGGGGCTCTGCCCCGGAGCGGCCGTTTGCCTCTCTGGTTTTCTGGTAGGCTTGCGTCAGCTCCTTCAGTTTCACGCGGCACTGCTTCGGGTCCCTGTTATGGCCTCTGTCCTTCATGCCCTGGGAGATTTTGACAAAGGTTTTGGCATTTCGAAAACTGGAACGGAGTTCTGATAGCACGGATTCCTCTCCCCAAACAGCAATCAGATCCCGTACCTCCCGTTCGGTCCATGCTGGAGCTCTTTTGTGATTCTGGGACTCCATCATGGTCACCTGCAGCTTGACACGCTGGCCAAACAGGAAATGAGATTTAAAAGTTCGCGGTTCTTTTCCTGTCTACCTGGCCAGTGCATCTGAGTTGAGAGTGCTGTCCAGAGCGGTCACAATGGAGTACTCTGGGATAGCTCCCGGAGGCCAATACCGTCGAATTGTGTCCACAGTACCCCAAATTCGAGCCGGCAAGGCCGATTTAAGCGCTAATCCACTTGTCGGGGTGGAGTAAGGAAATCGATTTTAAGAGCCCTTTAAGTCGAAATAAAGGGCTTCATCATGTGGACGCGTGCAGGTTTACATTGATTTAATGCTGCTAAATTCGACCTAAAGTCCTAGTGTAGACCAGGGCTTAGTAACGTTAGGTCAAGCATGTGTCAAAGTCAGATTCAGGACTCACATAATTTGTCAGACCACTCTGTTTATTAGCAAAGCTCTTTGCTAATGCACCCAGATGTGAGCCCCTCTCTGAGGCTCAAGATAACTTATTTATACAGCTAAGCCAAAGCCAATTTAACATAAGAGACAAAAGAAAGCAGAAACTGACAAATATACATACATATCTTATTTGCATACTAACGTTTACCAATCTCCTAGCTCAGTAGGAGCTCTAAGTTAATTAGTTTGAGGACCCATTGTCTCCCACTCCTTAATGTTTCTCTTCCTGACAACTATATTTCAACAAACCCTTCAAGTAGCATTTCTTTAATGAATTATAATTTCAATATAATTCATTCTACTTTCACACATGTATTTATGTTATATAAATATATGTACATCTAGATAAACATGCATGTAATATTTCCTCCCCACTCCTTTACTACTTATATCATATGGGAGATGAGTGACTTGATTTTCAGTTTTCAGAGTAACAGCCGTGTTAGTCTGTATTCGCAAAAAGAAAAGGAGTACTTGTGGCACCTTAGAGACTAACCAATTTATTTGAGCATGAGCTTTCGTGAGCTACAGCTCACTTCATCGGATTCATACCGTGGAAACTGCAGCAGACTTTATATACACACAGAGAATATGAAACAATACCTCCTCCCACCCCACTGTCCTGCTGGTAATAGCTTATCTATAATTATCTATAAGCTATTAATAATTAATATAATTATCTATAAGCTAGTAATTATCTATAAGCTATTACCAGCAGGACAGTGGGGTGGGAGGAGGTATTGTTTCATATTCTCTGTGTGTATATAAAGTCTGCTGCAGTTTCCACGGTATGCATCCGATGAAGTGAGCTGTAGCTCACGAAAGCTCATGCTCAAATAAATTGGTTAGTCTCTAAGGTGCCACAAGTACTCCTTTTCTTTTTGATTTTCAGTGTGTGTGTACTGTGGAAGCAGTGTATGGAGCCTGATCCTAATAGGTTATGAATACATCCAAATCCCTTTGATTTTAGTTCTTCACAGTGTAGGACCGTTCTTCTTCGAGAAGGAAGAGTCTTGTGTCACTCAACAGCAACTACTGTATGCTTATCAAGGCTACTGTTTCCTTAGCTCAGTTTTTTTGTCAGAAGTATAATAATTGCCACACTATTCTCTCAAGGCAGAGAAGCTGCACATTGGAGGACTGGAATTGCACCCTCAGGAGGGGGGAAAGAAAAGCCTTTACATTTAGAACAACTTAGTTTGCCTTCTGCTCAGGAATGGTTCAATACTTACTGAGCTTGCATTAAAGCTGAAAAAATGTTTTAAAGTGGTGCTGCATTTTCACTTGTTTCTGATACTTCCTTTGAACAGGTTAGTCTCTAAGGTGCCACAAGTACTCCTTTTCTTTCCTTTGAACAGTGACCAAGATGGTTTCTTTGATAAATGTGTGCCTGTCTTTTGACGAACCTTTTTTATAGAGATTGTTTTCAATTTTAAAACAAGCATTCTGTCATTTTTCAGGAAGGTAGTACAGTGATGGCAGAGCTTGACCACAATTTTTTTGTTTTTCTGTAAACTCTCATGAATTTCAATAGGAATTCTAAAGAGAGAAAAACATATGGTTGTTTGCATTTTGAATAGAATTGGATGACATGCTACAGCAGAGCTGGGAAAACTACGGTCCGCGGGACCCTCTTGGCCAGCCCCTGAGCCTCCCCCTTAGCCTCAGCTCACTGCACCACCGGCACAATGCTCTGGGCAGAGCGGCAGGGCTGCGAGCTCCTGGGGCAGTGCAGCTGCAGAGCTCGGCCTGATCCAGTGCTCTGTGCTGCGCGGTAAGAGGGTAGGGAGCAGGGCAGGTTGGAGAGAGGGCAAGGGAGTTCGGGGTGGTCAGGGGGTGGGAGGGTGGATAGGGGTCGGGGTGGTCTGAGGGCGGGGAACAGGGGGGTTGAATGGGGGCAGGCGTTCCGGGGGGGCAGTCAGGAAGGAGAGGGGGCTGTTGGATGGGGCAGCGGGGGGAAGGCAGGGGTACCAGGGGCAGTCAGGGGACAGGGAGAAGGGATGGTTGGTTAGGGCAGGGGTCCGGGGGGGGGGGGGGAGGGGCTGTTTGGGCGAGAAGCAGGGGGGAGGGCAGTTGGGGGGGGGCGGACCACACCCCCCCTCCCCATACCAGCCCTCCATATAATTTTCTAAACCCAATGCGGCCCTCAAGCCAAAAAGTTTGCCCGCCCCTGTGATACAGTCTCATAAATTTCAGCTGTAGCACCATGGGCATTTTGTCTGTTCCCTTCTCCACCCACCTCACTCCCCACCTTGGGTAGCTATACGATGATATGGGCTAAGATTTACAAAGGTATTTGGGCACCTAAAGATGCAGATAGGTATACAGTGGGATTTGCAAAAATTATCTAGGCACCTAACTGCCACTGAAAGTCATTCCCTTGAAAGAGCAGAGGGAAAGGAGGAGAAGAAAAGGGCAGAATCTTTGGGCCTTTCTTTTCCTTCCCTCCCCTCTGTTCTGTGTAATTTCTAAAGAACATGGTAGAAAGAAAACCAGAAGAGAACAGAGGTTTTATTAATAAATTGTGCAGAATGTTTATAATTGTTTTAATTATTAATGAACAATATATTAGCAGTGAATAGGATACTTCTTTATTGGATCAACACATAATTTATAACAGCTTTTTGGGTGCAACAGGGTCTGTTTACATAAACTTTTGTCTCAAAATAACCTATGTATTTTATTGTATTCTGCTTAAATCTTGTCATATCTACCCTTGCATACTTTAGCCGTAATCTAACTATATCTTACTCTTGAGACACAGAGGAAGTAGATGGTTGGCAGTGATACAGTGGTATTTTCAGGGTGTGTAGCCTTATAGCTTAATTTTTTTAAAACCTATAACCCCATTTAAAAGAGAATTTTGAATCCTTCCTTTTGGAAGTAAGGCAGAAAATCAACTGGGAAGTGCTATATAATAGGTAAAGGGGACAAAAAAGGAACAATAAGGAAAGGAGAAATAACGTGTAATAGGGAGATAGAACTTGAAGGGGCTAAAAAGATCAAAAAGGGAACCACAGTATTGTAGAAAAAATAAGTGGGGGAAAAATAAGGGCTAACAACTTATTTTTGTATTCTGATTTGATCCATGTACCCTTACAAAGAAAAATAGTGGAAAAGGCTACAGATTCATGTCAGAAATCTAGTACTATCACAGATAACTTCAGGACAATACTTTTTGTGGTATTCTGGTACATTTTTGGCACATATTGGATGTCTTGAATAGTTGAGTAATTATCCAGGAATTAATTTTCATGAATTTTTTGGCATTTGTTTCCTGTTGCCACAATCCTGGTTGTGTACCCTACACCATAATGAGAACGAAACTGGTGGGAAAGAGACAAAAACATTATATTAATGTTTTTTTCAGCTATAGCAGTGATTATTTTGATGCTCTGTAAATCCTGTTGTTTGTGACATCCTGTGGTCAGTTGTTCTGCCTCTCACAAAAACTGTGAGAGAAAGCAACTGCTGAGGAGAAAATCTATTTTCTAGAAAGAAAAGGAGTACGAGTGGCACCTTAGAGACTAACCAATTTATTTGAGTATAAGCTTTCGTGAGCTACAGCTCACTGCATCCGATGAAGTGAGCTGTAGTCACAAAAGCTTATGCTCAGATAAATTGGTTAGTCTCTAAGGTGCCACTAGTACTCCTTTTCTTTTTGCGAATACAGACTAATAACATGGCTGCTACTCTGAAATCTATTTTCTAACTTTTCTTTCATTCTTGAAATGGCTGAAAGGCAAGCAAATTAATGGGCCCTATGCCTGCAACTGTTGCTTGCATAAAAAGTCCTTATTTGTATAAGCAATTCCATGCAAGCCAAAAGGCTTGGGGCACCAGTGTCCTAGGTACGGTTCAAACATGAAGTAAAAGGCAGTGTAAAAAGACAAAAATAAGTGGAAGGAGATAAGGATACATGTAAGTAACAGGGTCAAACTCATTGGCACCTTCCCTCAACAAGATAAGGAACATATGGAGGATGAGGGGAAGGTAAATAATTAAAATATATATAATTCTAATATGTTAATTAATAAAATATACCTATTTAATATACATGATTTATTGTAAGAAAAATATAATATTCATCATGTGTACCTGTAAGCTCTTCAACCTATATATTAATTGGTTATTTTCTTGTAGACATTATGAAAAAAGTAGGTCTTTGGGAAGGATTGGATCAGAAAACTCAGAAATGTTTGTGGGAGAAATGGGGCACGTGGATGGTCTTTGATGGGCAGAGGAGGTGGAAGTTCTTGGGGGTATAGAAGCAGTAGAAGAAAGGGCAGAGAAGTGTGGGGAGCATAGTTTGATGTGCCTTGAGGGTAAGGACAAGAAGCTTTAATGTTATGGAGTGGAAAAGTAGGAACCAGTGGAGGGATCCGAAGTGGGGAGAGAACATATTGTCAGAATGACAGGCAACAAAGAGATTAATGGTTTCATTTTGAATGGAGAGGTGTGTGGGGAGGGAGGGGGATATAGGAGTAGAAGGAGGTTGCAGTTACCATGACAGGAAGTGACAAGGCCGTGGGCAAGAGTTTTAGCTGTAAGGATAGAAAGTAAAGGTCCAAACTTAGTAATGTTATGGTGGCAGGAGTCGCAATATTTGGTCTCTGCCTGAATGTATGAGCTAAGTGACAGCGGAGTTGGAGATGGCTACCAAGTTGAAGACCTGGGTGACTGAAAAATTAGTGGTATTATCCCCAGGGCTTAAATTCAGCCAGAGCTGTCCGGAGCGGCACTCCGGTAAATATTTTCAACCCCCATGGAATTTTTATAGCATTTGGGTGGGGGGAGAGGAGCAGGAAATACTCTGAGACTTTAAGCCCTGGTTATCACCAGTAACAGGAATGGTTGAGTGAGTAGGAATCAGGTAATAAAATGAGGATTTCAGTTTTAGCCATCTTAGGTTTAAGTTGATGGCAAGACATCTTAGGAGAAGATGTTGGTGAGACCCAGTACAACATGGTCTTGGATGAAGAGAGGCATGTCAGGAGTGGAGATTTGTGAGTGACCCAGGTAGATGATAATTGAAGCCATGTGAACAAGGAAGTTCACCTAAAGAAATGGTGAGCTATAAATGTTGGGTAACAAGATACTGGTGGTTGCTCTTGATTATACAAGTATAAATCTAAAGGGTGGGGGAAAGTCATAAGCTGTTCACTGTGTACTTAAGTTGTTCAGTGAGTTAAGCATATTTTGGTAAGTGAAATTGATTACAAATTAATTTCCTTAAGTACTACACACCTTTTTATTTTCACACTAGAGCCTTATATTACACAAAGAAGCTATCATGTGGTGATTTTAAATTGCATGCAGCAGTGTTTAGCATACATTTGAACTATAAAAAGTTTGCAAATGATTTTCCCCACTCATATATTAGTTCCAAAACTGCTGATTTTAGGGACTTGCAATCCTATTAATGGAGAAGAGAGATGATTTTCTGATTTGGTTTCTTAATATTTCGTTGGGGATATTAAAAATACTGTCAGGTTTTTGATGTCTCG